AAGCAGCCAGTGGAACTGAACGAAGGCACGAGCACATTCCACTTGCATGTGATGTGGGTAAGGAGGGCTTCTGCAGCAACCCTCTTCCTCTCGATTTTTCGTATTTTCCCTCTATTCGGGGACCTCACCAGCGACGTCATGAAAGAACTTTTCTCTTCTTGATTAATTTATAGTAGGATGCCCACGACCGCCAATGGTAAAACTGGCGATGCCGCTGCCGAGAACGTATACATGGGTGTTATAGTGAGCTTGCGCCCCATGACTTCCGTGCGCCCGTGAAGAGTTAGATCTTTTTGTTTAGCGCGCTTCAACGCTTGATCCAACTCGGAAGAGAACGGCAACTCGATACCAAGGAAATGACGATTTAAGGAGCAAAGCAAGATACGCATAGGAACTCTTACTCACCAGTCAGTTCCTGCTAGTTTCCTAACTTATTCCACAAGACTTCCTTTAGTAGGCTGTCAACGTGCTTGCGGTGGCGCCTCTCCTAAGGGACGAGGAGGTTGCGAAGCAGTTCAATGAGCATTTTTTTAAGCGCACGTTACTTGTCTGTCACATGACCAGCGAATCGTACTTGGCCACCATTTTTTCAAATTCCTCAGCTAGCCCTCTTGTTGGTTCGCGGCGAGCCGATCCGGCCGTGAACGCCGCAAAAATTAGTCCGACAGTGATTGGCGTGGAGAGGGCCTTTTCGGTGAATCTCGCTGCCACTCGGAGCACTTTCGGCGGCCGGAATGCTTAGTTTGAATCAGCCTTTAAAGCCTTACGGGCACTCTGCCTTTAGCGCTATTTAGCGCGTAGTTAGTGGGGAAGCCTCTGGGACACAGAATGATCTCAGAGGTACTCGTGCTGCTAACTCTAAAGAATACCTATCTCCTTTGTTTGCTGCATGTATACGCCTCTGACGTACTTGTCTAGGACGTCACGCGCACGTCAAAGGGTCGATCGTTCGAACCTATAGTCGCGCGCCTCGGAAAGTGTTTTCGCAGGACCGTTTTTGTGCAGTTTAAGTACATACACACGTACGCGTACGCGCAGCACCACACCGATGGCGACAGCAAATATCACTTGGTGCATCCTTATAAATGATATCGCCATAAAATTTGTTGGTGAAAACAGAGACATGCGAGCTTATGTATGCCTTAAGCCGTTATAAAGAGTGACAAGATTTTCCATGGGCAATGACGATCTTATATGAGCTCAGCACCACTCACCATGAGCTCGAACTTTAATATTGAGTTAATCTTGCCCAGTATGCAAAAACTCTTCATCGGTAACGGCTAAATATGTGGCTAGATATAGCACTCACTGACGGCATTCTGGAGAAAAATCTGCTCCGATTCACGATCACGGTCGCTTTGTAAGCAAATTAGGACACCGTAGACAAGTTCCTTATAAATCCTTTATACGAGAGATATGAGAAATGTGCTTTGCGTTTGAAGTAATAAGGAGTCGTGTACTTTTTTGGGAAATTAAATTGTTTTCTGTTCAGGTAATTTCAAACAGGGTTATGCGGATTTCATTGCTCGTACAGTTTTATCGCGCAACAGGGCCGGCGCTTGAGTAGGTAAATGGTCCTAATTTTTCACCCCTCACTTCTGTGTGAACTATAACGAACAGACTATCAAGCTTAGAAAAGAAGGGGGTATGTCATAGATGTAATGGTATAAATCTCAACAAATAAAGTGGAAGAAAAGACAGCTTGCCGCCCCACCGGCAACGTGTCTGTTGCCTGCTAGGTAATGTTGATTCCCTAATGTTATTTTGCATACGCTGAAATTCAAGCACATTGACATTCTTCCACTTTTCACCCATGGTAACAACTTCAGCTGCAATAGAGTGCGAATGCCATTACAACACCATGCGTTTCGCTACATAAGCCGCTTCAGCGGCACAACGATTATTCCCGATTTCCTCCACCTATATGCAATGTTATTCACTTAATCATAGTGCAATGGAGTTCAATAGCGACGCCAGGTAGTAGGCAGGCAGCCGGTACGAACAGAAGTGCTCGAGCAGTCCAGCGTCTGCAGCTCGTGCACACGCTCGCGCTTCGCACTCAGAGATAATCCCACTAGTCAGTGTCTTGTGAATTCCTCACTACAATACCCTAGTGACGAAGACGAGCCACTCTGGCGACTCAAGGTGACGAGAGAACAGGAGGGTCGTAGCAGGCCTTGAGGCGACTGACGTGGACCATCGACCAAGGCGGCGCTTGTTCGTGGACGGCTTGAGTGGTTCAATCACATAGTTGACAGAAGAAGGGTGCTGTATGACGCGGTAAGGGCCAGTATACTTCGGTGCAAACTTGGGAGTCAGTCCAGGAGAGTGGAAAGGCAGTCGAAGCTACACGAGAGAATCGACGGGGAAAGTGTCCTGAACAAGGTCACGACCATGGCGATCTTTTCGGAGGGCTTTATTATTGGGTGTGAAAGACCATGCAAGCTGACGACACTCTTCGGCATGTTCGGCCATTTCAGAAACTATGCTGAACTCGGAGGCATCAGAATTGTATGGAAGAATTGTGTCGAGTGTGCTGCATAGGTCATGGCCATATAAAAGAAAAAATAAAGAAAAGCCTGTTGTTGATAGAATCGCCGTATTGTAAGCATACGTCACGAAAGTAAGAAGAACATCCCGATTGGAGTGGTCGGAATCAATATACATAGCGAGCATGTTTCCCAGGGTTCTATTGAAACGTCCCGTTAGGCCATTCATTTGAGGGCGGTAGGCTGTTGATGTGCGGTGTACCGTACGGCGTGAATGTAAGAGCTGCTGCAGAACTTCGGACAAAAATACGCGGCCCCTGTAACTAGGAGCTCCCGTGGTGCACCATGATTAAGAAGACACCTATGCAAGATGACGGTTGCAATGTCATGAGCACCAGCCGAAGGTAACGCTGCCGTTTCGGCGTACTTTGTCAGATGGTCGGCAGCCACAATCACCCATCGATTATCACCTACAGAGCACGATGCGGGCCGTATAGGTCAATCATAACATGGTCAAATGGGCGTGCAGGACATGGTAAAGGCTGCAGTTGACCGGGTGAATGAGAAAATGTCTTGCGCTGCTGACACAACATGAGCGAATGTGTTTGCCTACAAACGTGTACATGCCCCGCCAGTAGTAACGCTGGTGGATCCACTCATACGTCTTTAGTACACCGGCGTGAGCGTGTTGTGGCTCAGCATGAAAATATTCGTAGATATCAGACCGCATATGGCTGGGTATTACTAGCAGCCATTTACGACCCACCACTTGATAGTTCCGACGGTATAACAGACCATCCCGTATGGCAAAATGCGTTGCTTGGCGGCGAAGAGCACGCGGGTAACCGGAAGTTGACGCGTCAGAAAGCATATTCAAGAGCGAGACAATTCAAGGGTCCTTCCGCTGTTCCGATGGCATGTCTGTGACGCTGACGCCGAAAGGGGAAGATCAAGGGCTGATATTTCCGTATCATCAAATTTCACGGGTGATCCTGAAAGCGCATCTGCGTCAGAGTGCCACTAGTCAGTGCCTTGCGAATTCCCCGCTACAATAGTACAATCGACATGCTTCTCTGAGGAAAGCGCAAGCAGGTCTGCCCTTTCAAACGACAGGTACCTGGACTCAGTGTCATGTCCGGGAAACTCAGAGCTAGTTTGGGTTTCAAACAACATGCAAGCCCGTAGCAGTTGCCAGACATACTAAGATCCGGTTGAATGAAGTGGGGTTTATGTGAATGTTCGCATTTATTGGCTTTCAGAAGTTTTTCAAATAAAAATAATTATACACCTATAAAGAACTTCTTTTTGTTTATATGTCTTTTCTTCTTATTTTGTGAATTTTAAATCAGGTGAAGTGCGAGTAGTGATTAACTTGCGTTCGTAGCGCTTGCCTCCACTCTTTCTCGCCTCTCGCTCAGCGATATAAAAAGTTATATCTCCCTCTGTTATGTCGCTTGGTGGGTGTGTCAACTACGGAAGAGATGAAGACAAGATAAAAAGAGCAAGTTCTGGCGGGCAGATAACGGGAGCCGCAGTGAGCTTCGCTGAACAAGTAAACCATGCATTCGTAGAAGATGGCTTAATCAGGCAACACGTGTTTTCCGTGACTCTGCGGGGTGCTAACACAAACATTCCTAGTTCTGTTAAAGTTTTACACTGCTCCCTTACAACGGGTGAGCTCAAGAACGTGGACACATTGTTTTAGCAGGTTTTATTTTTGCATGAGTACATAGGAGTAAACCCAGCTCCCTGCAAGCCTGACTGGACTGACAGAAATGCCGTGTTACCTTGATAATTGGTGAAGACGGTAGCCAAGCTCTTGTCGGAAAAATGCGTTTATTGCGCTTTCACACTACGTGTATGTATGTTAATTATACAAAACATGGAATAAACCATGCCATTCATTTGTGTCGATCGAGTTTCGTCTTCTGAGAAATCAGTCGGTTTAACTTTCACCGCTTCAGAAAACCTGAACAAAATATAAAATAAAAGAAGATTAACAGAATTTTATTGCGGCATTGTCCAAGCCGCCAGTGGACCTGAAAGAAGGCCCGAGCGCATTCAGCTTGCATGCGAAGTGGGAAAGAAGGGCTTGCGTGGCACCCTCCTCCTCTCAATTTTTTTGTCATTTTCCTCTATGTGAGGACCTCACCAGTGACGTCATGAAAGAAATTTTTCGTTCCTGATTCATTTCTAGTAGGACGCCCAAGAACCACCAGTGGTAAAAGTGGCGCGGCCGAATGCGAATACATGGGAGGTCTAGGGAGTTTCATTCCTTTGTCACAGTGGTGCATCGTGGTTACTAAGGGTATAAAAAGCACTGCACAAACTACCGCTTTACAATACTGTCGAAACCAGCGTTCAGATGTTGTCCCTCGGTGCACAGTATAGAAATGCAATGTTAGCCGAGGAAAATACCGAATTTCGATATTGCAGAGTGTCCTGGAGTTAGAAACCTAGAATGCAGACCGTAGCCTGAGGAGCCGCGTCATTTAGATTTTTTTCTTGCAGTTATATGAACGACCCACCAGTGTTTGAAAAAGGCGAAACATTCCTCCTAATACCACCTATAATGCATGTTAGTGGATTCTGGCTGACTTTCTGCTACCTAGGGCTTGGCTGCGAAGTGGTTTTAGTTCCCACATGGGACTTTGAGGTCATCTTGCCAGCCATAGAAAAATACAAGGTAATTATATTTTGTAGCATTATCCCCATTTCTCGTTAATAGACTAAATCAATGGAATCGTAGGCCTGTACACAAGTGAGCTCTAACAACCTGTAAATAAATGAAAGATTGCTTCATCCTTGGATTGGAGCGAAGGAGTCATATTGCACGGAGATAAAGATGGAACTGAAACAGTTTTAGCTCAGCAATCAGTCAAGTGCTAATCGGAGGTAGCATCAGGGAATAATGCACATGCTTGTCAAACAGTTTACAGAAAAATGTTGCAATTTATCAGGCTGGATTGCCCGTATAAGTTGAGGCTGACTATTTCAAATGCTTTGCTGTTTACGTATCATACCAGCCATGTCGTACTGCGCATTCCGTGGACTGATACCTCATAATTGACGCAACTGGTACAATGCCTTGAATGCATGAGTAAGATGTGGACAAATGTTTTTTCGCAATACACGGCTATCAGTGAATGTACGTTGCCCTAAATGTGTCGGTTTGTGATAAGTCGTCATATCTCTAAATTTGAATGAAGTGGATGCAGCCATCATTTAGAAAAACAATTAGGTCAGCCATCTTTTCTGTGCAGTGTCATGTACAGTGTTTTATAGGAAATTTAGTTTCATATATTTCTCCATTAAATATTCGGTAGCCACTACGCAAGGTTATGTCGCAACAGGAAAAAAATGACTTAGCGACATAATGAGTGTAGGCTGCGGCGAACTGAGCAAAAAGAAATAAATTCTGGAAAAAGAAATTCCAGGCCACATTCTTGCTCAACTAGTCCCCTCCGGTAAAACATTGATTCATGCAAAATACGCAACATAATAACTGTTTGATGAGCCACCCTTTACTGTAAAAGTAGGGATTTAAAGGTACACAGAACACTGCCGAAATTGATGTGGTCCCGGCAGGGCATCACAGGCTGAATGATTTACAGGTTACCGTTAGGTTTTGTTACGCCACATTGAATAGTTTACCAGAATCACTCGACTCACAATAAGCCTAAAGTATGGACACTATGAACATCATACCGCACTATTTTCATATTTTAATTTCTGCATCACACTCATATTAATGCCGGAACTAACAATAGAGAACACGGTTACTTCCTTAAAATAAAGCTTTTTTTTCTGCGTTCGAAGTCAAACACAAAAAAAGCCGCCATTAGCATGAGCGGCCTAAGCACAAGCGAAAAAAATTTATCACCGCAGATACTGACCACTAGTAATTGTGATAATTTTGATTTTTTTGTGTGGAAAGTGTAGGGGCCACAAGACGATCTGTCACCAGCGCAGTGAATGCAGGCCAGCTGTCGTTACTCACTGACTGGCACGAAGGACGCTTTTGAGGAAAGAGTTTAGTAGAAAATACGTCTAGTGGCTCAACATGCATGCTTACATGAATGATATTTTAAGGGTGTTGTGCGCCACCCTATGAAGCATGTGCATGTGGTGAAGGGTCTAGAGCATCGTACTTCGTCTGGAGCGGCCCCCAGTACAAATGCCACTGCCTAAACGTTTCCACGTATAGTCATCTTATTCAAGTACTCTTATGACTGGCAATGCATGGCCTCTGCCTGCAAGGGACGATCATCGGCGAGCCTTCCAAACGTGGTTCGCGTCTTGCAGGAAGTTGAAGTTGAAGATGAAGTTGAAGTTGAAATTTTATTTCACCACAACGATACACCGTGAACACGAGGGGTTTCTCTGTGCGCCACATCCAACGCGCATCGGTGTTGTTGAGACGCGCAGTCAGCGTCGGACAAGGAGCGTCGCGTGTGCGCTGCTCTCTCTCTGGGCTTCGATGACCCTCTCGTGTGTCATATAAAATCACCTTTGTACGCCTTGTTTAACAGTCCTGTAATTATGTAATGAAATTGTGTGTATTTGACCCGCAAGAAGCCTCGCAAAGGTTCTTCTTCCTCGAAGCCTGGGTTAACGCCAGTGCCCCGATTCTCTATCGCATCAACTGGTTAGCAGCCGCGGGATCCTGTATAATTCCGTGGTGTTCTTTCCTGGTACCGATGCTTGTGAGTGCTCGCTTACATAGAGATTCTACCAAGTACTTTGGATAGATGGTGATCTTTATCCAAAGGGGTAGATTGGTCGCTGCTTCGTGAAGGCTGGTGTCTGTTAGAGGTGCCTTCACAGCAGTTAGAACAACGAAAGGTATTAAGGGGTGGCTATGGATTTGAACAGGTTAAGAAAACTGGATTTAGAACTCCTGTGCGAAGAGTTACGGATGGACGTGACCATGATACATAGGAAGCCACATTTGATACAGGCGATCAAGGATTCTGGAGTGGATGATGAGAGGCTTTCTGATTGTTGGGAACTCATACAAACCAGGCATAAGGAAGCCAAATAACGTGAACGCCTTGCGTCAGAGAGAGGAGCCCCCAGGCATAAACACGAAGCTGCAGCTCATGAAAGGAAAATGGAAAGATTGAGCTTAGAGTTTCGGATTGTCCTGGCGAAACTTGCTATTGGTAAGGGTACAGTAAATGAAGAGATTCAAGATAGACCAGGCACAATAAACAGTGAATGCAGGACTGAGGTAACTGACGAGTGCAGCGTCTATTGCCAGTCGGAGATAACAGGTGTCACAAGCATGGACGAAAACAGGATGACTGACTCGTGGATAAAGTTTTTTTCTCGGATTAGTGTAGACGCGGTATCTTTGTCTCAGCAGGATGAGTGTACAGCCGCTTTCGCCAAGTCATAAAAGTATACAGCCGGAGGTGCTATCGTTAGTAAATCGCGACGGGGATGATCAGGGTAGCCTAACTAGAGCTATCATTGCATCTTGCCCAACCGACGGTCGGTTGGGTAGCATACAATGATACAGTTGCTGGAAGCGACAAAGGTGACAGCAGATTGCCAGTGCATGGTTTTCAAATTACCAGTGCAGAGCTTCTTTAGTGTCAAGAAAGCTTATGGATGTTCTATAGTTTCTGTTGTTACAGAGCGTACTTCCTCAAGGACACTTGGTCTTTAAGTTTTGAGTGAAAAGGGAGCAGTGTATGCAGGTCTAGATGGTGCGGACACTCCCTTCTTCATGCGTCTGCGAACAAGCTCTTTGGTTAAAACCCGGCATTGCTGCAGCGTGAAGGGCAGTTACTTGAAGCATCCGCGTGGTTTAACATAGACTTGGAGAGATGCGTCGCAAATAACTTGTTTGTAGGTGTTCTACTTAGGGTCGGTAAACTGTGGACTACGACCTTTCTGATAGACTTCATGCCGTCGTTCAGCAGGGAACAGCAAGGCTGCGGTGACTGGGCCGCGCAAGATGTGGAGGTGCTTGTTGGAACCCAGTGGGTGTTGATGTGTAGTGGGGGTTGGTGCAATGCCGAAATGCCTTGTTGTGTTACCTGCTCTGTGTTATGCGTGTGTTGCGGTCGAGAACCATAGGGACGCGTAGGGGCAATCGCAACGGACGACGTACAAGGGCCACTTTAGGGAGTAGTGGTACTGCAGTCCGTCCTCGGCCTTTTTGGGTGGCGGATGGGCTGTTATGACTGGCAATGCATGGACTCTCCCTGCAAGGGACGATCATCAGCGAGCTCTCGAAACGCGGTTCGTGACTTGCAGGAACGCCAGAGGTACTCGTGTGTGCAACATGGAGTGCGCAGTCGGCGTCAGACAAGGCGCGTGCACATGGACCAGGAGTTATGAAAGGAGCGTCGCTTGTGTGCTGCTCACTCTCTTTCTGACCTTCGTTGGCCCTCTCATATGCCATGTAAAGACGCGCCTGTAGGCATTGTTGAACATTCCTGTAATTGTGCAAATAAATTGTCTGTATTTGGTCCTCAAGAAGCCTTGCAAAGGACCTTACTTCCTCGACGTCTGAATGAACATTTGTGCCCCCTTCTCCGTCACATCAGTACAAACTTTATAGAGGAATTAAGCACGAGAAGGTGACTAAAGCGTGGTGTCTGCTATGTCTATAATTGCGCCGCTACTTGTGTATGAGCGTGCTTAAGGGCTATAGAAATCGCAGCTAAATCGATGTGGTTCGTCACGCGCATTCAGAAGGGCGGTCAATGACGAATGTGTGAGAGACGTTCTACACCTTACCGTGGAATGGAGTTCTAAGTACTGATTCACCACAGTGAAGGAGAACTGACATAATGAGAAACGACGCTCAAGTGTTTAGAAAGGCCGACTACTTTGTTCTTAGTAAGTGGATAAGTTGAACGTATATTTGTGAATAAGAGTTACCACTGGACGGATAGCAGCTGAATTTATTTTCTTAAATCTATTTTCATCCCAGCCTACAACACTTGGGTTGCTTCCTACGTTCTTCCTGAAGTTGGATCAGCATCCACTACTGGGTCAGGTGGACACGAGCAGTGTCAAAAAAGTAATGCTTGGCGGCAGTACATTGAATTCATCTGTGCTACAAAGCGTCGCCAGGAAGCTCGGCTTGGGCGGAGTCATACAATGTACGTTTCTTGATGTTTTTCAAGTGTGGTAAAAAGAAACTAAACAAGACATTTGATATCATGCATGACAAGTACAGCAGATGAATGGTGAAATTCGAGAAATCCGTATTACAATCAGGGAGTCGATTTTACATTGACAAAAACCTCCCAAATAATTATCCCCGTATTAGATGAACATTTAAGCAATGTAGCAATTACGGAAAGCGCCTTCACGGGCTATACGTTAAGCCTTCATACTAAGATTTTCAAAGCATAATTGTCAGGCAACTCATCATGAATTCTCCTTTTAAAAACAAGGCAATGCAGTTGGAAGCAAATATTCCGAGCAGCGTTCCTCACAAGCGTCTCTAGAAGCGTGTTTACTTTGTTTCCGCAGCTTTAAGGTGACATAAAGCGCTTAATAAATATCCATACTGGATCCCCTTCACCTTCAAACCTTTTTAGGTCAATTTATAAGGAACCAGATCAGTTTTTCTTGATTAAAGTTTGTTACCAAGAAAGGGATTGCAAAAAATACTTAATTCTACCATATAATTGTGGTGTAAAATGTAGTGGAACTTATGACTAAGTGACGGACTGACTGGGCCAACTAGTTGACTGACGTTTCATTACTTTATACATTACGCTGTTTACTGCGTCCTTTATAAGTCTGTTTTCCTGTTGACGTTAGCATGTATTTCTTAGATTATGCGCATCAAGGCGCATTTGGCCCTGAATTCTTGTTCGCGACCACCTTTACAGTGATATGATGTGTGCAATGTGAGTAGTAAAATAGTCAACAAAATGAAAAGCAGTGAAATAAAATAGGTAACAAAATAAAGGAATGTAGTGTAGCTATTGAATTGCGCATTTCTCATTTATTGTGTGTGCGTTAAGTTCCCTGTTCATCTTTCAGACTGTGTGGCACCATATATGAAAGGTGGTTGTGTCGTTGTTTCTTCCGTACTTTTTAAGTACGCGTGCTTGATTTTCACAAAAATTTCTTACATGACACGTTGCAGTGATGTACAGCTCATTTCAGTAACTAAAGCCCAAACGGTGGAAGAGTTTGGTAGGTGTTAGCCATGGGTCATTCATTCGAACGATGAACGCCTGTAAACTAGGCATAATGCAATTTCACAGCGTAATGTACTTCTCCTACAGTTCTACCACGATAGCGTTGAAGAGATCGCTTCACACGAACTCCAGTGTAGTTAGAGGCGTCGTTGACTGTGGTAAATAAAGTCGTGATCTTCACGAGGTGAAGAAATTGAGACAGGTGCAAATAAACCTAATAATAAAAAAGGCTTGGTTCGAGTGGCAATCGAAGCCCATGTGGCAGAAGCAAAGAATATTGACACGAAGATCCCGAACATGAAAAATGCGCAATGATGGAGTGTTTGCAGGCTCACGACAGGGCGAATATGTATGTGCTATATATATATATATATATATATATATATATATATATATATATATATATATATATATATATATATATATATATATATATATATACATTCTCATCATTATCAGCAAGATAATCAAGGAATTGTACAACTACAAAGAGGCGAGTGTCACCTTACGGATAGGCAGTAAACACTTACCAAGGCATTTGACAGGAATTCTAGAATAGCTTGAAATAATCAACATTACACGCACAGACTTTAGTTTTCTTTGGGCACGTTTGCGTTGTATGCAGAAATGCAAAGTGAAGCGTGAAGTTAGGCCAGCGATTGAAACAACAATGAGAATAATACCTGATTATGTTATCGCGTTATACCTTTCAAGGCTACACCATTTTTTTATGAAAAGGCGTCTTTGTAAGCTCGTAGCACTTTTGGGGCCCGGCTTGTCATCGTAGAACTCTTGTGGCTTGAAACGCATGCGAGAATGCGCTCAATACAGGTCAAAACTAATACAGAAATAAATGCTCAAAACTAGGTCAAACAAAACAAATAGGTTCCTAAATAACTATATAACAGTAACTGAGAATTTAAACGAGTTGTCAACATAAAATCTCTAAAAACGCTTCGGAAACATTCCGCTGAAAACAGAGCACCGCGAGATAGGTGCCACCACCTCATGAAGGTGAGCGATTGCTTCTTCTACTGGCACTTCGTCACTATGATATGAAGGAAAAAAAACAGCTTGAAGAAACTCGCGGTGGACGACACGTATCTCAGCTAACGTGGGAGGCAGGAACTCGCTAACAAGATTCTACTGCTGCACGCGAAACCTCAAACGGTGGTGCTATCGGCGGTTCTGTAAATGGAGAAGTGCGACCTCTATAAACGAGAGCCACTGGGTGCCCGTGCTAAGCCCTTGACCTTCCACAGTAGTTGACTACATCTACGTGTGTCAGACGTCCGTAATGGATGCTCGACGTCATTTTATCTTGGAGAGTTCTGGCGTCTCTTTCGTACCGAACGGATGAATGGCATCTCGGAGGCTTACTAAGGTGTCCCATAGAGGCATGTTTGGCGGGATTTAAGCTTTGCTCTTGCCCGCCCGACAAGCGGGCGAGCGTGAGAAGATAAGGTTCAGGGAGAGCGCTTCGGGAAGTAGGAGGGTGCGTACGCGTTTTGGTTTTTCCAGATAGTTTCAAACATTTGGTCTTCGTTCTTAGTCGCCGGCTGGGGGTTTAGATCGTCTTGTCGGGGCCCGGGCTTTTGTGGGCGCGCGCCCTTTTCCGTGGTGTCGAGGTCCAGAGGTAGAGCCTCGTGATTGCGTACCTACGTTTCTTTAAACCTTTTCCATGTCCTTTTTGTTTCGTCTGTTCTGAGGTACGCTATCGCGGGAATGCTGCAAGAAGGGTAGGTCAGTGCTTCAAATTTCGTTCATTGTTTATTTCTTTTAGAAATGTGCCCCTTGTGGCAAATAATTGATATACTTTTTAACCTGTATTAGCTAGTTGGTGTCCTTTATAATGATGTTACGTACGACTAGTTACTTCGAATGATTGAGCTAATTGTACTAAAATCCCCGTAATAAACCACACAGTTGGAGAGTATCGCCTAATGTCTCTCTTATGGCACACGTAAGCTCACCATCTCTTCGTGATGATGGTCAGAGATCGAGGAAGCGGTACATAGCACAACGAGACAAACGAGGCCGCGCACCATGCATGGAGCTCACAGTTCCCGAATCTGCAGTAGTGTTTGTCGCATATGATTAGTTAGAGAAGCGAGGCTTTGCGAGCTGTTGACTGAAATAGGTAACTGACAAAACCCGAATGATGTGTTGGTCCAACGTGGAGTCTTATAGCACCCTGAACATTAAAACAGACTCACAGTGTGTGTTTGTGGGTGTGCGTTTGCGGTTGTGCACGTGCGTGTGCGTGTGTGTGTTGTCTTTTTGCATGACTACCAAAATGTTAACGTGCACCTGCGATGGTATTATGTTTCATGGTCACCTGAAAATATGTAAGGGACGTTCAAGGGGGAATTTATTATGTTTTAGTCGTTTGATAAATGACTTTAAAGAACTCTGCCAAGGGTTTCATGAACTTCAAGGAGCTCCAAATCATTCAAATTTATCACATTTTGTGCCGTTTTCATTGATCCGCATGTGCACTTTTTGTTCCTTTATTTTTTTACCATGTCCTTTTCGGCAGTGTTTGGAATGACAGAGTTGGCAGGCAGCGCAACAGCGTCTTCGCCTCGAGGAGATGACTTCAAAAGCGTCGGAAAGCCCATGCCATTCATGGAAATTAAAGTAAGCAGTGTATTGAAGTAAATAAATTCTTAGTATTTGCAAGGAACAAAAAAAGCAAAATGACATTCCAAAACTTCGCCGTCAAAACACAAAAACGATGCCCAGAGGAGGCTAGCGCAAACAATGCAGCTGACCGTATTTCGGGCAGATTTCTCACGCATTGTGGCAAAAATCACGCTAAGCTGTCATCAAGTTGCTGCTTACGCGGGACTTGTAGACAAATACTACTACGTGGATCGGCGTGTTTATGCAATTTGAGTTGTAGTGTGCATATATTCTATAGGCTGAACAGTTACCTTGACTACCCTGACTCCTAAACAAACGGCACTTCACTGAGTGATGTAGCATTGGCGCTGTAATTTAAAGCACTGATATTCCTTTACTTCAGACACGGGAGCATTCGTTGTCGTTTTGCTGCTGGTACGAGTGATGCTAGACCAAATCGTGTTGAGTTATAGGAGTACATTTGAAAGCTTCGTCGTTTTAGTGCTATAAATTCACCTACTCTGAAAAATAGCACGTTTTATTTTCTTAATACCACGCAAAGCTACAAGTCTCAGTCTCTTCAGTTGCTGTTCTGGGTTGATAGAGACTGAATATCCTATTGTGCATACCGGCAGTTTTTTATGTGCACTAAATGAACAATAACAGACACAAGGAAAACCACAATCACAAAATTGTGCCTCTTCAAGATGGTTTTGCTTCTTCCGTAAAAACTTCCTTCATAAACATAGACGTGAAAAAGAAGAGGGCGCCTGCGAATGTAACATTACATGCTACGATGGCAACACCATAGCTCACTCTTCCCCTAGTCTGTACTGCTTGTCATCGTGGTTTTTCCAGCCAACGAACTAAAATACGAAATTAAAGACCAGTGTGTAAGTAGTTTTTTTCAAGTACATAGATATAATGGTCACTGAGTGTAATCCACGTGGCTGCCCAAATAACGCTAATTTGAATAAATGCTGGATAACTCTGGACTCTTGTTCCTACTTTATTATCAGGTGGTGGATATAACAACCAGAGAGCCCCTGGGCCCTGGAGAGAAAGGGGAAATCTGCATAAAAGGCCCTTGCACATTTCTGGGCTACCTGAACAAACCGAAAGAAACTGCTGACGCCTACGAAGATGGCTTCCTCCGCACTGGTGCGCCGTATTTTTGCATGCGTACTATCTAACATCTTCAGGGAGACTATCTGTCTTTTAAAATTAAACAACTCACCGCTTCGCCGCAAAGGCGCAGCAATGAACGCGATAGCAACAAATTGGAAAGTCACGCTCAAAATGAGAAGCAGATCATGAAGCGTGTACCACGTTTCTCGTGCACAAATCAAGCATGAAATGTACTCACAGGTACAGATGAATGCGAATAAGTGTTTTAGTTGTTACTTTGCTATGTCCGAAAAGCGCGCCCTATTCAAAAACGGACACTGTGCAACGATTGCAGTGACCTTTGTACGTCCGGTGACTACAACAGAATCGTTCTGGTGAAATATCAAGGCTAGACAAGACGTTCGATTCTCCCCACCGCGAGATATGGGCACGCGAGCGACCGTCCACACCCCTCCTTTCCGAAGGGCAAAGTACGTGTGAGAGATGTGAACACGTGGCACCGCGTCGTGACGATGCTGCGACGCGCACTCATTGCGCCATCTTCTTGGTAATGCTGCAAATACAATCGTTCCTTCCCCCGTATGCCCGTCAACAATGGCACGTGGTATATATATTTAGCTTGCCGTTTGAATGTTGAAGGATGTGCCTGTCCGTGGCTTAGTGGTTAACACCTCGCACTCACGTTTCAAAGCTCCCAAGCTAAATTCCGCGTGCCGGAGCCTATTTCTTGATTATTTTTATTTCTTGAGTTTTCGTATATATAGATACGTATACATTTACGATGAGTTCCATTGACGCCGACGCCGGCGGCAAAATTCAGCCGAGATATCTATAGAAATACTATCGTAATAAAATTATCTGAAGCTGACACATTCTTTCCGTACCTTAAATTTCAATAGTGATTGAAAGTACGCTAAATATATGCCAGCTTTAAGATTAGGTTTTCAATACTACATGTGCTAGGGATTCGTGTGTCAGAACAAGGTTTTCATTATGAGGCCTGTCGGAGTTGCTCAGATCATGAGATTTCTAGCACCTAGGCTTCTTTACCGTAACACATGCTCCTAAATCAAAACTCAAGCATCACCATTTTAGAGAAACGTGATCACTGCGTCACGATTAGAACCCGCGTCTTCCGGCGAGCAGCTAAGCGCCGTAACTACTGTATACTGAACCAGCCATACACTTTGGCACCTTACTCCTAATTTAGTTGTCTGTGCTAAGTACTTGCATCATTAGCTTTATTTATATACTTGACACCATAGATGCACGTAAGCCTATTGTTTCTGACATGAAAAAATATTTTATGCTTATTTTGTGAGTGTTTCATTGAAATTAATTATAATGAATTAAATGAGGCATCTAATACTCCTTGTCTGAAATAATGTCGTAGGTAACCTAATTTGTATTCGTATTTCCGTTTTTTCTGAGGTTTTATCGTCATGCCCGAAAAACGGTAAATCTCGATTGAGGGACAATCATCTGCCATGCGGGTAGCAAACGAAAGGTTTTATTCTTTCCGCTCAACTGATATCGAGAGAAAAGCCATTTTTGAAATCGGGCTGGTCTTACTGATACGTCGCAACACGACAAAAGCAGATACATCACGTGAAGGCTTTTCAAACGCAGGTGATACAGGCTACTACTCAACCGACGGCCGGCTCTTCGTGTGGAGCCGCTTCAAGGAGCTGATCAAGTGTATGGACCAGCAGGTACCACCGGCTGAGATCGAAGAGCTGCTGGCCAGGGATCCTAAAGTGAAGCAGGTGGTTGTAGCAGGAGTTCCTCACCCACAGTACGGAGAAGCTGCCAGGGCATTTGTCGTTCCGCGGCAACGCCTGGTGGGCCCCGTTGAAGAACAGCTGGAAGCTGACAGGCTCAAAACGCTCGTCGCTGGTATGTTAGCGATAGTTGGCCTAGACGGCCCGGGACTGTTCAGCTGCAGCTTTACATGTACACGTAGAGCCTCACTTTTGGGTGTTTGGTCGGGTGCAATGCTTGCTTCTTCTAGCACCCATCAATTTTTAAGACTACTAACGCTGTTGATCCTTCAGGTAGCACGACTATTATCATTATCATGAACCGCTAAGCGTTCGCTTCGTGCACGTAAATATACGCTTCGGTCCCACAACTCGTGCGCTGATTTATTCGGTATGGAATACAATAACTAGTTGTATCTTGAGTGAGTTTGTTACGTGACGAAACAGTTGCAACCAGCCACGTGAATAAAATCACATCGCATTATGTAACAGCTGGTCATGCACCTCACGAAAATCACGTTACATCACGTGATTGTTCTCGCTACATATTCTAATGCACTTTGTTCATAAAAATACTTGGAAGAACTTCATTCTTGATTTAGTGTTCATTAGTGACAGTCTTGCACAAAGTTTCAGATTCGAGACCATAGAAGCTACATTATATTATAAGGCAGTTCTTGTGTACATTAGCTGCCTCAGTCCACGTAAACAATTCAGTTATAACACATAATATTATTTTACCAAGGCTGATTATGCGTCTATGACGGAACCTTGCAAATTATTTCTATCATTTTGAGTTGCTCAAACAGAGCTTCATGTTCAGGTGCTTGTTGATTGCTTGGACTTGCTAGTGAAGTCATGCTCTACTTGCTGAAGTAGAAAATAAAATGTGTGCCTGATTGAATAATTTATTGATGGAGTAGTTACGTTCAATTTATGGGAGAGACGAATATTAGAATTTTCTAATACTTTCCAACCCTGTTTGCTATTCGAATCGATTCGCATGTTAATTTCACTATTTGAGCAGTTTGAACTTCCCGAAGGAAATATTTCTTGCGCAGAAACGCGAAAAAGTAACCACTGGAAGCAAAGCCACAACTATGCATGTTCAAGGTCTGATTTATCTTAGATTCCGCTTGTGAGGTGCGAGATCCGAGAAAAGTATGGGGCGTTCCCGAGTTTCAAAAATTCAAAACATGGCTGTTAGGTTTGTGTACTCTGATGTTACCGCAAATGTTATAATTTCAAAAGCAAAAAAACCATGGTTAATAACATTGACACAAACGAAGGGATTATATCGGGCTGATACATCTTCACTACGCATTTCATAATTGAACAGATGTGGACTCTCAGCGATACTTTTGCAAACCAAATTACGTTTCACTTTCACTGAACCATATAAATAACATAAAAATAAGTTGCAGGGCTGATGCACATGTAATGCAGCTTTTCTAACAATTGCCCAAGCCGATGTGGTATAGTGGCTAAGGTACTGGGCTGCTGACCCACAGGTTGCAAAATTGAATCCCGGCTGCGGCGGCTGCATTTTCAATGGAAGCGAAAGTGACTTAGGCCCGTGTGCTGCGATTTGGGCGCACGGTAAGACACCCCAGGTGGTCGAAGTTTCCGGAGCCCTCCACCACGTTCTCTCTCATAATAACGTGATGGTGTCGGGACATTAAACGTCACATATCAATCAATCAATCTCGAAACGACAGGCCAGTGGAATATGTTACCGTAAGAAGCAGCAAAAATAACCTGGCGTGATGGATTTTCAAGTTCACCGGAAGTTTTGCAGTAGTGTTTTTGTGCGGTTTTTTCATCACGAAATTTTATTATGAACCAACTTTATATTGCGTATTTTGATGTGTCACTGCGTAAGTACGTAGTGAATTGCTTTTTTAATGTATAGTCGAAGTGTGAACATCTGTGTCCACTTGAAATATTGCATTCCTTTCACTTCCCCGTTACGCCCTTGGGTGCTATGGGTGCTATCGTAAATGAATGAATATAAATACAGTAAGAGTAGAATTAACAGTGGCCCCATAAAATTCTTTTATGCTTTGTCGCACTAGATTATCGTACTGCGACAAAGCTACCTTTAGAGCTCTGCTACAGTCGCAAATGTAATCAATTAAGAAAACGTGGGCTCCAACATCAAGATATTCGACTTAGAAAAGATGAGGGCCCGATGGAAGAGGACCCTGCAACACTTTTTGAGCATGGTCAAAAAACGCTTCCAATTGGTAGTAGAGGCTCCCAACAACACGCGGGTCAAATATTATTGCACCGCACGCTGCCTGTTTTTCACAATAAATGACCAAAGTCAGCTAAAAATCGTTTTCCCATTTCTCGACCAATTACGGAATAAGCACAAAAATCACTCGTAGTAACCTCATATATCAGCCATTGGCTGTTTTGAACATGGCGCGCTTGGTTGTTACAGATGTCGCCAGTAGAGGCCGTCACTCGTCCACGCGTGCGTGCGCGACCGTACTGAAAAAGTCGCGTATTCGAAGAAAAAAAAAAGAGGGCTTAAGGTCACAAGGCGTGAGTGACATTTTTTTGTTTTCCCCTCCCATCCCTCCCTGCTTATCATCGAGCGCTTTCATCGGGACGAGAGAAGAGAAAATGCGATGAATGCGTGTGACAAATCTTTATAACTCCGCCCGTACTGAACGGATTATGGTAATTGTTGCGTCGTTGATGTTCTTATGTAATACTTTTATCTAGTCAATTAAATCTATGGTTTCTCATAAAGGTGTTTCCGGGCCCCTTTAAGGCTTTCTCGGACCGGAAATTTGAGTAGGAAGTCAAAAAATTGGATACTGATTATTCTAAGCATTACAAATTTCATAGATTTTTTAGTATAACACAGATAGTTATGCTGTATTGTCTGCCTATATTTAACTGTAGCATGAACATAAAAAATCAACTCCCAATCACTCCGTACAAATGTTTACCCTCAAGAGTTCAAACGTGTGGTCCCAGTGTTTAGCTACGGGTTCAACCCGACACTCCACCGAAACTTTTCACAATAATTGGTTATATGCTTGTATTTCTCAATGAGGTTAGACACACATTTGACACAGAGTGCTTATTTTATGTGCTGCACATTGTGTCTCGCATAATCATGGTCACGGAGGAGTGTAATGAGCTGTTAAATGCGTTTCACATTGCGTTAATCACAGCAGTTGCTCTAGAACAACAGTAGGTCACAGACGTTGCAACCGTAGCCAAATCCCCGTTTCAGAAACTCCTGTCGAAAGTATGCGTTCGTTCCGGTTAACGAGGTCTCGTAATGATCACGTTGACGCTGTTGTAGTCACAATGCCGCTTGTTCGGCCGGGCGTTGTTGCAAGCGTTTGACATCACGAGCTAACATGGCGGCCTGGTTGGTAGGATCCGCCTGCCACCGGCGCTTAGATTCCCGTTCGCAATTTAGCACGGCTTGGAAGGCTGCCGGATCGACACAATGCAGTTGAGGCCGGCACTAGACCTCCCGTGCCTATTTTTGCGCCATGACTGTACGATCAGCCCGGCGAATGCGAGATGTTTCACATTTCCGCGGTCGGCGCTGCTCTAGAGATTTTTTTAGGTCACCATTGTGAAAGGTCTCGTGGAAACTGGTGCGCGCGTGTTAAACGCCACGTCTACGACGGCGTGAACATCGTGACTCACAACGCAGCCAATGAAGCGCGTGCTTGCTTACGATGCTGAGAACGACGTAACTTGTAGCACAGCCAATAGAAACCGCTTCTGACACCGATGTCGAATAGTTTTCCGTTTCTCCTAGTCATTTTCAGCTTTTCCCTGTAATAAAGTTTTGATACAGCAGCAGAAACCTTTTGTTACTATGTGGCTGCTGCAGTTCTCTGTGTCTACAAAGATTAATTCAGTCAGAATCGTAAAACCCAGCCGGAGTAAAGTTAGGCATACTCAGAAAGCATGGTATAGCAGTCAACTCCCCTTATCTGGTTGAATTGTAGTATTGCGGTAATTGCACATAAAAAAGACGCGAAAGAACATGCGAGGCATTAAATGCGAATGCGGACGACCATGCACTAAGATAACAAGGTTTTTCAGCATGAAAAATAAGCATTTGCATATACAAGAACGAACCAAATACCCGCACCAGTAAAGTGAATAACCACGTTCACTACACTTACGCAGATCCTCTTATGAACCTGTAGCACAAGACTGCAGAAAAACATGTGTCCACGACTAACTTAACGCACGTTTTTTATAATAAAATATAGTAGGTTGAAAGGTGAACGTGAAATGTTTTTCTTCTGCCCTTTCCAAGCTTCTAATAAACAGCGCAGTTAATAAAGATGAAAACATTGTGACACTTTTAAGAACTGCTCCCAAGATTTGATTTATAAACTCTCCTCAATATTTTATTCTTGCTCTCAAATACATTGCTGCTTTTTCGCCACTTAAATGGACGAAAGTCGCCATTTGAGGCCTGTGTTTTTGGCTATGTTTGTCCTGTTAGGTGCCTTATAATACACGTTTCAAACCTGGCCGTCTATTCACAATACGGTTATCTATTTTGTCAGGATTTACGAACTTTGAACTTCTGCTTCCATTAAACATCTGTAACGTGCACCATTCTACTCAATTTACGTACACTTGATCGTATGTACTTAGGTCATTCGAGACCTAAGTACATACGATAAGCCGAGTATCAAATGAAAATGCTCGAGAAATGGGTGGTAATTCTAGGTAGGGAGCGAAACAAAGAGAAAATTCGAAAGTTCAGCGGCGATTTTGTGTGGCTTGCAAAAAAAAGAGGACGTTGATTGATGAGGCCACGCGAAGCTTCCCGTGATCCTCGCAAGGCAGGGCAACAGTTGGGCCGGCACCCGACATGGTTGCTGGAGGACGCGGCAGCTGCCCTTGCGTTGGGCAAAGAAACTTCCCATTTACTTCATTTGAGAGTTGAGGCTAAGCGGAGCAGCCCACTCTGACTCCTGACCTCTGCCAGACATCGGGTCTACACCCGACCGTTCTGCCGGCCGAGAAACTTCCACCGTCCTCAAACTCAATGAAACGCCACTGCGACTACTGCGTGGCTCTTCACACGCCCTTTCCTACTTCGATTCTTTTTTTTTTGTGGTTCAAGCGTCAAAT